TGTTACTAGAAGCGATGCACTTGTTACTAGTAGCGAACATTGCTCCGTTCGTAGCGATGCCAAGAGCCCCTAGTAGCGTCCTTGCCCCTAGTAGCTTCCTACACCCCCCCGCGCGCGCGCGCGCGCGAAAAGGTCCTAGTAGATTCCTTTGCTAGTAATTACAAGTGCCTTACTAGTAGTAACAAGAAGCTATTCATTAGAATTCTAATTAAATTCTTCTTGTTACTACCAGTAAGGCACTTGTTACTAGAAGCGATGCCCTTCAGCTCCTTCGTTCACGGCGGTCTCTGCCAAGGTCAGCAGCTCTTGGAGATCCGACGGGAAATACACGGCCTCGATGTCTCTCCGTCGTCTCCGCCTTTTGGACGGCTTCGTCTCGTTTGTCCCGGTCTCATAGCTGGCCAGGCCACGATCCAAGAAGAAGCGTGCCAAGTGAGAATCGGATTTGGACTCACCAGTGACAAGGACACAAAGCTCTGGAAGCCCAGTGCTCTGCGGAACCAGCTGAATCTTCACGTGCAATGCTTTCACTTGAGCGGAACCTAATGGCGTTTGGAAAGGCATCCAGCATTGGAGCCAGTGGGTGGTTGGAGCACTAGGTGAAGTGGACAAAATCACCTCATGCTCTCTGCAGCACTGAAGGTCGAACCAACCGACCAAGCCACTTGCACTTCCATCACTTCCTCCACTCAACTGAAATCTCTTGGGGGGACTCTCGAAGAGATCCTCTATGCTGCAAGTGTTTAGGTCGAGGTCCAACAGGAGATGCGGATTTCCGTGCAGGTATTCTTCGGGGATCGCCTTGATGGAGTCAATTGAGCAAAAAAGTTGCTGAAAAAAGCCTGCTACGATTGACAAGGGTGGAAGGAAACTGCTACTAAAAGAGCCTTCACAGCTGCAAGCTGTGCCTGTTTCTCTATGCCCAGTCACTCTAGGCCCACACTTCATGGCTTTTGCACCTGGAGGGCTTGCGGCTTGCACCCAAATGCGCAGCAGCCCAGGCAGCATGCGTGGTCGGCACGATGCACGGCCTGGAGAGAGGGGTCCCAGCCTATCGGTGTCTTTGCGTTTCATTTCGGAACCTCCTGGCTTTGGGTTGGAGGCCATTACTACTAGAAACAAGAAGCTACTAGTTACAAGAAGCTACTAGGGGCTCCTGGCATCGCTACTAGGAGCAAGGACGCTACTAGTAGCTCCTGGCCTTACTACTAGGAACAAGAAGCTACTAGTAGCTAGAAGCTATTAGGTTGGAGGCCATCGCTAGGTTGGAATCTATGAATCTCTCAATTGGAACCTCTTGAAGAGTCTTGGTTCCAGGTGCCGACCAGCGGCACAAGGAATCACGGCAGCGGAGCAAAGGGCGAGCCATGCCCTCGTTTAATGCCATGATCCCCAACCACTCCTCAGATTTCGACACTTGCTGTCTTAGATCTAGATTTCTTGGTCCTTCGCAACCCTAAACCTTAAACCCGAATTAATTTTCCATAAACATTTAGGAACCAAATGAATAGCGCGAGCTATCCTGCATCCTGTCGGTAGTAGCGTTCTAGTGAGGTAGTAGCTACCTAGTCTCTACTAGCTACCCTAGCTGCGTCCATGCTAGTAGCTTAAGTAAGGTACTAGTTACCTCTCCCTTACTGAATTAAGTAGGGAGGTGGGAGCGGGCTTAACAAAAATAGTCATACGGCCCATTTGGGCCAAGTGTCCGAGACTATGAGAGCTGCTCCACTGCCTGGCCAACCGGGTCGGTCGCAAACTTCCTCCGCAAAGCCACAGTGGACCGTCACTTTTGCACTCTCCTGGCACAACTTCAACCGTTTGGGAGTCAAGTCGGGCATATGTCAGTGCACACCGTGCACCAAAAGAAGTCTAGAGAAGCAGAATCCACACTTCGTTCTGAGGCCATTGCTAGTAGGTTGGAGGCCGTCGCTTCTGTCAGAATGGTCTCCTCTTCCAAGGTTCGTTGCAAGACTCGTGGGATGATCCGACAAACCTCCGGGAGCGCTTCCACGGCGTGGACTTCTTTGAGCCTCCGAAACGCATCCGGAACGCTTTCAGTGCCTTTTTGGTATTTCTCTCTTCCTCTTCCTTTTTCTTTCTTTCTGCTAGCGATGGCCAACCTAAGAGCCAACTATATTTGACCTTTCTTCCTTTTCGTAGCTCCTGAAGCTACTAGGAGCAAGTGCATCGCTAGTAGGAACAAGTGCCTTACTAGTAGTAACAAGAAGCTATTAATTTACTTTAATTTTAATTCTAATAGCTTTTTGTTACTACTAGTAAGGCACCTGTTACTACTAGCGTGGCACCTGTTACTAATTTAAACTATAATAGCCCCGGTTCTTCAGACTCTCGCCCGTTCGGCTCGCGTCTGAAGTCTCGCATGTGGCAACTCTAACAAGAACTCTTGGGCCCTTCTCGTCCTTTTTCATCCTTATTCTGACTTCCTTTTCAATTCTTGAGTTCTTTGGGCCAAATCCCTGCCTTTGCTATGTTTACCAGTTTCTGTCTTGACCTTTACCACTTGCTCCTTAGAAAGCAACTTTTCTGAAAACAACCGTGGTTCTTTGAACATTCCACCTCCCAAAGCGCACTGCTAAGGCGGACAATATGCCAATCCCAGCACCGAGGTCCACAGCCACCTGTGGACGGGACAATGGCGGGTCTTCTTTCAGATGAGTCCCCTCAAGGCGTTCCACGGAAAAGGTGCCATAGATCATAAATAACAAAGCAGGAAAGGACCAAACCAGCGAATGTTTCTAAACACATCCTTTTCCGGCTTTTCTATTTGCCCCTTTTCTTTAGAACCTTTTTTATTCCTTTATTGCTTCCTTTCTCTCCTTCAGAAGACTTCATTGTTAAACGGGTGAGGCGTGTGCTTTCCGCTTCTCGCTGCACATCTCCCCAGCCTTTCCCTCAAGCTCTGTCCTGTGCTCCAGCAAGCATCTTGCATAAAACCGGTGTCGGCTACTGTCTCGCAGCATCATCAGGTGCATCTCAGGGTCGTACACCGCTCTGAGATCCTCTCGGGAGACCTCCAATGGATCCGTCATGGCTCAGCTTTTCTACTGAAAATGCTCTTTGCACTTTGAAGGGCTGCCACCTTGGACATGGACTTGGCTTGAATCGGCAAGCATGATCTATAAATCTCCAGGTCGGAGGCTGATTGTCCACCAACTAACCCTCCGAACACACTTTATGGGGTGAGGATCACGGTCACAAGAATCTTGGGAGCCAATGCACGGCCAAATCCCACCACTCGCGACTCGCGCGAGGAAGCCGAAGGTGCTTCGTTCGGGCTTAGAATTTGTGCAAATTGGAATTCTTTGCTGGCCTTTTCAAAGTGTTCCAAAATCTTAGCAAATGTTCGCTAGTTTTCCCAATCTACACTCTGGTGGGCTAATTGAATGGATCCTTGTGTCGGACTTTGACCTTCCTCAGCTCCCATTTCGCAGGGCTTCTTGGCCTCATCTCGGCACTGCTCTTGAGTTGGTGGAGCCCTGGAGTCTCACGGAACGTGCAATGGCAAAAGTCGGAACTTCCACTGCAAACATCTGGAAACAAAACTAAACGGCGCAACGGTTTCCGACTGGGAAGAGAGGGCTCATGCTAACAAGCACGCCGGAGTCTCCACAAGACGGGCTGCGGCATTGGGGGATGACCGTGTGTTCCATGCAATGTCAGAAACGAAACAGGCGACTCATGTGCCCTGTGAATGACATTGTTAACCATCTTCTGGCGTGAATTCGTCAGCTTCAAACCTGCTAATTACAACTCCTGAGGCATGCTATAGCTGCTAGTCAGCATGAACTGAGTCAACTAACTCATACATAATCCTGAGCCCAGGATCAAGGAAGCACGGCAAAAGTCAGTGTCGTGCAATTGTCAAACTTCTTGACATCCATTAGCTTATCTCATGGAGCCCATCTTTTGCACACTGAGTCTGCTTGCTTGGCATCTCAGTGGAGTATCCTTTTCCAGTGGCCCAGGCCCGCACATCTCCCAATTGACATGCATTCTGCCAGGTTTCGGCAGTCCCTACACAGCCCTTTGCTGCAATTGATTGCCAAATCACCGAGGAACGCTTGGCCGAGCATATTTGGCCCGAGACGTTCCGGTCGTCGCGCTCACTTTCCACCCACACTGGGCATCCCGGCCAGTGTGCTGTCCATCCCCAACATGGAGGAGAGACGCGTGGCTTCTGCCTTTCGTGGGAGCAATGCTTCCTTCATCGCAAGAAGCCCCACAAAAGACACGTAGAACAACCCTCCAATCTCAGCTTGCCGGGTTGTTCTTCCCGTCGAGGAATGCTGTTCCGTTCGCTAAGGCTGTGTACTCCTGTGAAAAACCTGGGAACGCTGGGAACCCTGAGCCGTTCCAAGCCTGGCTCAGGTGTGCGTTGCTCTCCTCCTCTCGCTGACGTTCCAGCTGCCGCTCGCGCTCCAGCAAAGCCTCGCAACGGGCCTTCTCCTGCACAAAGCGGTTGCTCAAGAGATCTTGCATTGAGAACAATACTGTAGTCACGACAAAGAGTCGCAGGCAAAGACAGAAGCCAACTAAAACGTTCGAGCAACATAGAAACACGAGAAACCAATAAAGCATGGAGTTGCGCAGTGGTCCCAACAGAAACAAACACCAACCACTAAACACTGCTAAACACGCCGCGTGGCCTGCATCGCAGCGGCCATTTTGCGTCGCTGCTCTTCGTGCTGCTGTTGCCGTTCTTCGGCTTCGGCTCGGCGGGCGGCTCGGGTCGCCTGGAAGTCGTTGGCTGCAAGGAGTTCGCTCGTGCATTCTTTTTGATCGGGCCGGGCCGGGTAGGACCTTCCAATAAACCAAAGACCTAAAAGAAAGAAGGGTTTGCAAGTCGGCTCACGAGATGCTAGTTTTAGGCCCTTCTTCTAAGACATAGGTGCAACACAGAAACCGAAAGACTTTCTATCAACTCAAAAAGAAAACGCACGATGCTGTGGTGGTTTCTGCCGCATGCCGCCTCGGCAGCGGCCTCGCAGCGCTGCAGGTGTTGGCGGAACTCTGCGGCCGCCTCCGGACCGAGCACGCCATACTCTGTAAGAGTGGAATCAATTGGGCCATGTGGGTAAATCAAGTTTTGGGCTTGACAAAATAGATATCTCCTTTTATCTTCAGTGGTGCAACTCGAGCATGAACATCACCCTCGGACTTGCAAGCCTGCCATTGCTTGTCTTTACACAAGCTTGGAGCTGCCTCATGCTGTGATTGCATGCCGAGATTATTATATACTCTCTCCACTAAACATCGGCCTCGTGCTCCTCAAGCACATCACACGCAGCGGCACAGCGTGCAAAGGCCTGCAAGGTGGTCCAGTGCATAGCCGAAAATCCCCACGATTGTCCCAGCATAACTCGTCACCTGAGCCTGTTCATGCCTTCAAACTCTTAGAGAAAGAGTGGCGGTTACATCATCATGCAATCATGACTTGTCATAGCTACTTCGTTACTGGAACTGGTTCGTCAAGTGGACCAAAAGCTAATCTGAATCGAACTCAAAAAAAGCGGCTTCAAGCTCTTGTAGCATCTTGGCTACCAGCCGCCACCCCAAACAAACACTTCTTCAGCTGCACGGCCTTGATGTTTGTGGGATCCAGCTCAATGGCCTCGAGGATGATCATTGAAAAACACATGTTTTTGTTTTAATAGTAGCGTCTTGTTACTAGTAGTAAGAATGCTCCTAGTAGCGATGCCAGGAGCCCCTAGTAGCGTCCTTGCTCCTAGTAGTAAGGCCAGGAGCCCCTAGTAGCTTGTTCTTTCTGTCCTTTTATGTCCAAGAAAGGTGCCACAATGCTGTTTGGCCTCACTTGCGCTGACTGACCCATTTGTAAGTGTTTCATTTGGAGTTCATGGAAACATTAGCATCTTCCACTGGAATCAAGCCTACCAAGAAGTCCTCCAGATTAAACGCTCTGTCCAGAAGTCCAAAAAAGTGGAATGTCTTGCATCTTGCCACGCACGAGAATGTTGCACTTGTGAGAGGGTAAAACTACCCGATGCGGGTTCTTGCTGGAGATGTCTCAGGTCATGACCTTGGATGCTCTTTTACTTCACCACCGACTTTTCCTTTTTTTCTTGCTTTTCTTCACTACCTCACCGTTTCTTGGAGGTATGTCATGGTATGTCCTTATTTTTGATGCACATAGTGTTCGTCGTTCTCTTCTTGTCTTGTCTTTGACATGCCGCCCCTGGGGCCTCGCGTGCTCGGCGCAAGGCCTCCGCGGCGCAGGGCTTCTGCTTCGCCGCGTCGGCTTCGCCCAGCTTCAGCAGGGCCTCCCCAGGCGACGGTCGGCGGCGACGGTCGGATGGCCTCCAAGCCAATGGCGAGAGCTTCTTGTTTCTAATAGCTTCTTGTTAATACTAGTAAGGCACTTGTTACTAGAAGCGATGCACTTGTTACTACTTAAGACAACCATATGCTTCACATACTGACAATTTCAGACAAGCATATTTTCGTTACTAGTAGCTTCTTGTTTCTAATAGCTTCTTGTTAATACTAGTAAGGCACTTGTTACTAGAAGCGATGCACTTGTTACTACTTAAGACAACCATATGCTTCACATACTGACAATT